AATAAATTGGATTGAATGCTTGGCAGTTGATCAATGGCTCAGGGCTCAGCCATTGCCACAAACATGACACCTGAAATATAGTGCTCACCAATGCCTGCCGTGCAACTCTGCTGAAGATTCTTATATAACAGATTCTCCCCACAAATTTGGTAAGCAAGAGAGTTGCATTGCTAAGAAATTACATGAAGGTTCAGGTGCGTGGTCTAGCAATTCGGATGCAGGTTAGGAAGCCCGTATCCCTCATTGGAGTGGCAATGTGCAGCACCCGGATCTCGCTCCTGAGCCAACTTCCTGCTGATGCAGATCCTGGGAGGCAGCGGTGATGGCTCAAGTGATCAGGTGGCTGCCACGCACAGGGGAGACCTGGGTTGAGAACAACTCTGCCCCCACCCATTGTGGGTATTTAGGAAGTGAACCAGAAGATAGGAGCGCTCTCTCCTCTCTCTCTCTCTCTCTCTCTCTCTCTCTCTCTCTCCCCCCCCCTTTCTCTCTCCATCCTCTGCCTCAAATAAACACAAAATAATTTTAAAAATTCATGCAAAAGGCATGCTTCAGATTCTTCAGGTACTTAGTAGGTTCATACACCTCTGAAAACTGAATTGAGGAAGAGAGCATTTGACTTTCCAAGAAATAGTCCTGGAATCACACCTTCCACTGCAATATTTTGCTTCAGAAAACGCTTCAGTGAGTCTAACTGGTCATCAATTTCAGTAGAAAATCGTCTTGTTGTTTGAGATCTTCTACAATACAATCTAAACATGTTTGGTGCCCATTTTAAACCTGCAGTCCACTTATTGCCTCAAACTGTACAGAAAACTACTTACATTTTTTTTCCTTTCCCTTTTCTTTTTGTTTTCCTACAGGGGAGAAAGGCAGAAAGACCCCAACCTTTCGGCAGATTCTAGAAAGAGTTAATAAACACAGAGATGTTAAAAAGTTCCTCAAGGCCAGGGGCCTTTGAATTTGGATGAAGAAGCATTCATTTTTGCTCTTATGGGTCTCTACCTGAAACTTTGCATTTCTTTTGGTTGTGAATGTAGGCAACAATGCAAATGATTAATTATAGTAACTCTGTTATGCAAACAGCAGAAATTATGGATGTTTTCCTATCATACTTCAGGTATAGCAGACATCTCAAATATAGGTCGGCGCCATGGCTCACTAGGCTAATCCTCCGCCTGCAGCGCTGGCACCCCGGGTTCTAGTCCCGATCGAGGCACCGGATTCTGTCACAGTTGCTCCTCTTCTAGTCCAGCTCTCTGCTGTGGCCCGGGAGTGCAGTGGAGGATGGCCCAAGTGCTTGGGCCCTGCACCTGCATGGGAGACCAGGAGAAAGCACCTGGCTCCTGGCTTCAGATCGGCGCAGCGCACTGGCTGTGGCAGCCATTTGGGGGGTGAACCAATGGAAGGAAGACCTTTCTCTCTGTCTCTATCTCTCACTGTCTAACTCTGCCTATCAAAAAAATATATCACATAAGCTCAGAACCTCTTTAAAATCATGAGAGCTGGGACTGGTGCTATGGCATAGTAGGCAAAGCCACTGCCTGCTGCTGGCATCCCATATGGGAGCCTGTTCAAGACCTGACTGCTCCACTTCCGATCCAGCTCCCTGCTAATGCACCTGGGGAAGCAGCAGAGGATGGCTCAAATGCTTGGGCCCCTGTACCCACGTGGGAGACCCAGATGAAGCTCCTGGCTCCTGGCTTCAGCCTGGTCTAGCTCAGGCTATTTTGGCCATTTGGGGAGTGAACTGGTGAATGGAAACTCTCTCTCTCTCTCTCTCTCTCTCTCTTTCTCTCTCTTGGAAATAAATATTTTTTTTAAAAAAATGAGCTTTCCTAAACCTGCCACTAGACTGTTATCTAGCACAGTAATAAAGATGCACACATATTATTTTTCTCTTAATTATTTACTATTTATTTTGATGACTGCTTATAAATATTTAAATGTGTCCACTGACTCCACCATATTGCCAAAGAGGTAAACGGCACACACATACACAGGTTAACAACCTTTGTTCTAGACACGTACCTGAACTCAACACTCTGTCCAGAATAGGTCAGCTCCTGGTTTGATGAGCTTACTCCAAGATTTTCAGCTACAGCAGTCTAGTTAGTCCATCATTAGTGTCACCTGAAATGCCTTCTTCCTGGTAGATTCTGATCAATTGCTGCCTATTTTCAAGGACTATGTCAAGTGCTTCTTCATATGGGAACCTTCCCCCCTCTCCCGACCATCAGAGCAACAACTGTTGCAACTCAACATTGACCGTCTACTTGCACAAACATGCATCTCTCCCATATCTCTCTTAAGTTAAAAGAGGTGATAAAACCAAGGACAGCACGAACCAGAAGACTTAACACCACCAGTCAGTTTAGACATGCATCATGTCTGCCTTGGTCAGCTTGGGGTACCATGACACAGTGCCACACCCTGGGCACAATATTTATTTCCTCATTAAGTCTGGAGAAGTCAGAATCAGGTAGCTGGCGCCGTGGCTCAACAGGCTAATCCTCCGCCTTGCGGCACCAGCACACCGGGTTCTAGTCCAGGTCGGGGCGCCGGATTCTGACCCAGTTGCCCCTCTTCCAGGCCAGCTCTCTGCTATGGCCCAGGAGTGCAGTAGAGGATGGCCCAAGTGCTTGGGCCCTGCACCCACATGGGAGACCAGGAGAAGCACCTGGCTCCTGCCTTCGGATCAGTGCAATGCGCTGGCCACAGCGCGCCGGCAGTGGCGGCCATTGGAGGGTGAACCAACAGCAAAAGGAAGACCTTTCTCTCTGTCTCTATCACTGTCCACTCTGCCTGTCCAAAAAAAAAAAAAATCAGGTGTCAGCAGTGTTGGTTACCCCCAGGCCTTTCTGCCTGGCTTGTTGACAGCCATCACCTCGCTGTGCCTTCACACGGTCTTTCCTCTCTGAGTGTTGTCTGTATCCTCATCGCGTCTTCTTCCAAGGACACTCTCAAGACCCCATTTTAATCAGTGACCTCTTTGAAGATCCTATCTCCAAATGCATCAGGTTAGGATCTCAGTACATGAATTTGGGAAAGGGAGATGGGCTGTAGCTAACACTGTTCATACCGTTGTCCAGGTGTTTTACTGGGGAAAAAGTTCTTGACATCTCCGTTAGCTTTGGTTCGCTTTTCCTTAAAATGAAGACCCCATAATGGAGCTTAGTTTGTGTGACTGTTGTAGGGGACTGGTGACTTATTTCACACAAACCCACCAAAACAAATCATGGGATGTAAATGGTGACGCCAACAAATGGTTTGGGCTGCACTTGGCACCCCGGCTGGTCCCCATGGTTAGATGGGCAGTTTCTAAAGGGCCACCACCTTCTCTCACACATTGCTTTTTTTTTTTTTATCCCTGATGCCGCTTTTAACACAGTCAATGTATAATTCTTTAGTGCTCAGTTAATTAAAAAAAAAAAAAAGCTGAGTTGAGTGAGAGCTAAACATGAGGGCTTCCTGAGACACCAGTCTTGTGCACATATGTACAGGTGTCTACAGCTCTCTACAGAAAACTAACCCTGTTCCTTGTCCTTGACTTTCAAGAACTAAAACCACTTTTGAAAATGCTGATGCCAGTCTACTCAGCCCAACCAACTATGCAAAGACATAAAGCCCACCAGGAATGTCCTCTTCCCACCAGGAATCGCCAGGGGTTAGAGGAGAAGTCCTCAGTAAGCATCATTTCTGCCATAAATTTAAACTGAGGGTCTTATCCAAATTCTGTAGAACAAGTAAAAGGAAAATTCCTCAGGTCACTGGGGATATCTCCATATCAAACCTGTTTCCAATTTCACCCTATTAAGTGTCAATGAGTAGGCTGTGTCCAGGATACCAATGATGTTAGACAATCTATGAAATGCTCTGACAATTCAATGCTGAAACCACTTAGGTCAATTGTTTCTAGTCTATGGTTTTTAATTTAATACATGTATGCTTACCAAGCCAGCCCACGCTTAATGGAAGCTTTGGAAAGACATTTTGTTTTGTGAGAATTGAACTTCATAGGCTGCCATGGAATTAACTTTATTATTGTGAGATTGTCGTATAATGATTAGGAGCTGGCTCAACTGAAGTTAATGTGAAAATAATGTCCGTAATGTTTGCATAGCATAGTTTCTTTAAAAAAAAAAAAAAAAGGACAGCAATACCAAAAACAAAAGAACTTAACAATGGTTAAACGTATTTTATTTCATGCTCTTCTTTTAATGGTGCTTTTGGCTCAAAGCCCTTTATTAGTGACATTTTATTTCTCCCCTTATATTTGATCCTACTTTCTCCTACCATAAAACACGCCGAGTATGATTGGACTCAGAATGGAGCTGGCCTGTGGTGCAACATTATCTGTGCCTACTTTCCTGTGAGAAAGGGAGAGGCCACTTAGAAGGAAAATAACCCTTTTCTCTCATTGAAACAGTGTTCTAGTAACATAGTTTAAAAAGGGATCCCTTCCGGATATGTTCTAGAATACGAGGAGATTCAAAAGTTTGTGGAAAATGGAATTTGATGACATTTATTTTGGTATAGAAAATTTTGAAATGCCTGCATACAAGAGGCTTTTAAAGAGTTCATGAAAATGCATATTAAAAAACTACATGTGAATTTCAAATTTTTTTGCATTTGTCTTTTTGTTTTTAAAGATTGATTTACTTATTTGAAAGGGAGAAAGAGAGAGAGAGAGCAAAAGATCTTCCATCTGCTAGTTCATTCCCCATATTGCCACAACAGCCAGGGCTGGACCAAAATGAAGCCAGGAGCCCAGAACTCCATCCCGTTCTCTCACATAGGTCACAGAGGTTCAAGGACTTGGGCCATCTTCTGCTGCTTTCCCAGGCACATTGGCAGGAAGCCAGATCTGCAGCAGAGCAGCCATGACTCAAACCAGCACACTGATATGGAATGTCAGCATCTCAGGCTGTGGCTTCACCTGCTGTGTCACAATGCTGGTCCATTGTCTTTCAATTCTACTTTCTAGAAACTTCTCTAAGTACACTCCTGTTCCTCTGGCCCGTCCCAGATAGCCGCTGTCACAATCTCCCAGTGAGACTCAGTAGAAGTCTCGATCTGTCAGTCCTGGCAGAGCCTTCCTCCTAGTTTAGTTTCAGAAACCACTTCTTCAGTTTCTTCACACTGTCTTCTTGTTTGTGGAGTGGCCATCGTCTTGACTGGTAAGGTTCAAACTTCACTGCTTTCTTGTAACTTTTATAAGCTTCTTGGATGGAAATTGCCACTGAGAATTCCTATGCCTTCTCCTATCCCACATTTCCCTGTTGTTCCATGAGAAAGAATGAATGTGTGGTAGTCAGTCTTTCATATGGCCCAAACAATTCCTGCTCACTGATTTTCACATCCACGTGTAATTTCTTCCTTTTTTGTGTGAACTGGATGTGATGCTGATGAACAGAATATGGTACAAGCCTTGGGATATGACATATCACTTCCAAGATGAGGTTAGAAGACTGGCTGCTTCCATCCTGAGTGTGTTCTCTCTGGTTCTCTAATGGATGACTCACCCAGAGTTAGGTGCACTGTCATGCCTTAAGACAACCTTATGGACAGATACACAATGCAATAGATCCCAAACCCTACATCTGAGCAGAAAGACATTTCCTGTAAGGGATTAGCTCTTGCAATTATGGAAGCTTAGTCCCAAAGGGACAAATATTATATGTTCTCCCTGATCTGCGACAACTAACTGAGCACCAAAGGGGAAACCTGTTGAAGTGAAATGGACACTATGAGAAATAGTGACTTGATCAGCTCTTGTCCTGACGGTTGATGTACAATGTAATACTTTATCCATTTTAGTATTTTTTTTTGTTCTAGTACCGTTGGTTGAACTCTGTAATTAACACACAATTATTCTTAGGTGTTTAAATTTTAACTGAAAAGTGATCCCTGTTAGGTATTTGGAAAACATTATGTTGAGTGAAGTAAGCCAATCCCAAAGGGACAAATACCACTTGTTCTCCTTGATAGGTGACAACTAACTGAGCACCAAAAAGGAAACCTGTTAAAGTGAAATGAACACTATGAGAAACGGTGACTTGATCAGCCCTCACCCTGACTGTTGATGAGCAACTTGATATGTTATCCCTCTTAGTATTTTTTTTGTTTGTTCTACTTAATACTTTTGGTTGAATACTGTAATCAATACACAATTCTTCTTAAGTGCTGAAACTTAACTGAAAAGTGTTTGCTGTTAAATATGAGTGGGAATAAGAGAGGGAAGAGATGTGCAATTCAGGACATGCTCAAGCTGACTTACCTCAAATGGTACCAGGGGATTCCAATTCAATCCCATCAAGGTGGCATGTACCAATGCCATCTCACTAGTCCCAGTGATCAATTTCTGTTCACAACTGATCATAATGATAGGACTAAGAACCAAAGGGATCACATAAACAAGAATAGTGTCTGCAAATACTAGCCGATAGAATAAAAAAGGGAGAGAATGATCCAACATGGGAAGTGAGATACACAGCAGACCCATAGAATGGCAAATGTCCTAAACAGCACTCTGGCCTCAGAATCAGCCCTTAAGGCATGCGGATCCAGCTGAAAAGCCCATGAGAGCATTGCAGGCATGGAAAGCCAAGACACTCTGGGGGGAAAAAAAAAACCTAAATGAAAGATCTCTGTGAGTGAGATCGCAGTGGAAAGAATGGGTCATCAAAGAAGGAGGTACCTTTCTTTGAAGGGAGGAGAGAACTTCCACTTTGACCATGGCCTTGTCTAAATATGATCAGAGTCAGTGAACTCAGGGGGCTTCCATAGCCTTGGCAGCTCATGACAAGAGCCGAGGGTGATTACTGATGCCATAAACAAGAGTGTCAATTTGTTAAGTCAACAACAGGAGTCACTGTGCACTTACTCCTCATGTAGGATCTTTGTCCTTAGTGTGCTGTACATTGAGATTTAATGCTATAACTAGTACTCAAACAGTATTTTTCACCTTATGTTTCTGTGTGGGAGCAAACTGTTGAAATCTTTACTTAATGTATGCTAAACTGATCTTCTGTATATAAAGAGAATGGAAAATAAATCTAGATGTGAATGGAAGGGGAGAGGGAGTGGGAAAGGAGGGGGTTGTGGGTGGGAGGGACGTTATGGGGGGAAGCCATTGTAATTCATAAGCTGTACTTTGGAAATTTATATTCATTAAATAAAAGTTAAAAAAAAAAGAAAATAGAAAAATAATAAAAAAAAAAACAACATTACGGAGGCTTGGAAGTCTCAAGATCTATGGTTGACCAGCTGGTCATCCAGGACCTGAACCATTGGTGTTGCACCAGTTCCAGTGTAAAGACCTGAAAACCAGGACAGCCCAGAGTGTCTGTTTTCCAACTTTGGGAGCCAGCAGGTTCAGGAACCAAGAAGAGTTGATATTGTGGTTCAAGTTCAAAGGTAGGAAAAGATAATGTTGCGTCTCAATGTAATCAGACAAGGAGAAAAACCCTTGAACTGTGGGAGGGTCAGGCTTCATTTGACTGGATAAAGGCCACGTACAGTAGGGAAGACCATCTTCTTCCTTGAGTCTGTCAAGTCGCATGTTAATTTCATCCAAAAACACTCTCATAGAAATGCCCAGAACAAGGTTTCATCTATTGACTAAAATAATCAAGGTCTGGTTGGAAAATGAAAGTTGGTGCTTGTCCAGCTAGTCTAACTGAGGACAGACCTACTGGGTTAGGTTACAGGTTTTGTAATTTTCTTACAGGGTAAGTACATGCATTGAGTCAGGTTTAGACAATACTGCGTTACGTGAAGTTATCATCACACAAACAAATTGAAGAATATCTCATCAAAAATGTAAGGCTATCTGGTTATAGCAGTTCAGCTGTATTTAGTTTTTCTGACCCACAAAATCTGGGTCAGAAACTGACCAGGACATGCAACCCCCTCATTTTGTATTCCTTTGGTGCAGCAATTGATAAAGAATGCAGTGAAGGATCTGTGACAGAAGTTGCAAAGCAGGGCACAGCAAAGAGGAACAAGGGCCACCTGTGGTACCCGCAGACCCCAACATTGGTCCCAATCATGGTTTTTGGCATTTTTTTATGGTCTGAACATTGTTTAAAAATTACCCATTTCCAGAGTGTACCACTTGTGTGTGTCTCCTGGGGTTTGAGCTGCAGCCAAGAATTCCTTGCTGCCAGTGCCTGGGAGGTAAGAAGTATCCTCAGGTGGTAGATAGATGGGTATATCTCAAATTGTAGTGTTCCTGTGAAACGCCTCCTAATTTGCTAATTTCATAGGTCTGCGTGGAGCCAAGATTCTGCTTTCCCAACAAGCTCCCAGCTGATACAGATGCTGCTGATGGCCAGGGGACTCACTAGGGGGCGAGATCGTAGGAACTTTGCCCTTGCTAATCACCCTACCCCCGTGATAAGAAGATTAGCAGGAGGTGTGACCCTCTATGGCCAGGGTGAAGAAAAAGTGGCTGTAAAGTCATTTGCTCAGGCCCTGCCAAGGCAATCACAGGTGAGACTTGAAATTCAATAAATCCACAGCAGGTTAATTTTTAAGTAGATAATTCTGGATGGCCCACAGTGGTGTTCTAAATATCCAATGACCTCTGGCAGAAATTGGTCCCTCACCTCTGCAGGGAAGAGTGGATTCACTATCAGTTCTCTCATCCTGGCTTACAAATATCTCCTGCTCTCGGATGAAGGGAGTGACAAGGACGGATGGAAGGGAATCTGCCTCCATTATTGCTTTTGTCTCGCCTTTTCACAGATTCGAAAGTGATTCTGGAGAGATCGCAGATGAGAGTCACTGGGAGTGCAGGTGTCATGGGAAAAGAAAACAGAATGTTGACTTTCTGTATGATTTATTTTTAGTTGCAAATTTAACAGGTTTAGAATTTTCATAGCATTAAAAGAAGACTGATTTTTTTTGCTAACTTAAGATAATTGTCAGTATTACAAAAGCAGTAGATGTACATTGTTAAACATGAAGGGAAATAAGAAAATACACCACATTATCATAAGCAGAAATTGATCCTACTAACATTTTAGTGTCTATTACACCAAGTCTCTTACTAATCAACACCTTCTATGTCAACTAATTTTCACCACATCAGATACCCGACCTCTATTCAAATTTCCCCAAGTTGTCCCCCAAGAAAGAAATTAGCATACGTGCAAAAATAACAGTGTTGACAAATCCTACAAAAATGACCTCTGACTCACTCACTGGCATCCAAAGTCCTTTGTGTGCCTGATCTTTCAGAGTGTGTCTTGGAGAAGATGAGAGGGAAGTGGCAGCGGGGGGTGGGGTGGGGGGGTGGCGGGGGGGGGGAATGTTGGTGGAGAGGGACTCAGCAGCACATGTGCCACAATGCTTCCTCTGTGGCTGGACATCGGAGAAATTGTTTCCTAGAGAAAGTGACGAACCCAGATGCTTTCGATTGTGGGAAGAAGCCGTAAAGCTCTGGTTACAAGGCTGTCACTATCACGTGATTTCACTTTTGGTCAAAGGAGCCGCAGGGCTCAGATATCCCCTATGCCCTAAATCCTGCCAAAGTTACCATGGTGATGCCGTCCTGTATTTGGCCCACAAGAGATGACGGTGAAATGCGGGTCCTGTGTTTTTTATTTTTGGAAAGATAATGAAGGCTATCACATAAAGGGCACCTACCCCAGGCCCTGCTATAGGCAGGCATCACATGGAAATGTTGGAAAGATGTTCGAAAAATTACATGGGATTTTGGAAAAGCAGAATTATCCTCTCCCTAAGCCAGATGTAATTCAACTTTGCATTCAGGGAGACAGGGAGCCTGGCATAAGATTTCGTAATGATGACAAAGCTGGAAATTTCTGGAATTGTGGCTATGAGCCTCAGCTAAAGGGTCCCATCCACCTCCACCCAGTGCCTTCTCTTGAGGAGGTACTCAGCATACAAATGCTGCCCCATGCCTCAGTACACAGCCCTACTGAGAGAACCTGGGGCCCTTGGAAGCAGCGTAAGTCTGTCTGCAGGTCTGCGGTATCGGGGAGCCCTTTGTGCAATAGACCCCTCATCCAGGCTTGGAGGCCACATAGACCATCGAGAGCCCATTTAGCTCAGCCATATGCTGGTTGTGTGAACTGAGAAATTCTCACTTCTCTTTGCTTCAGCTTCCATGTGTATCAAATGGGGACAGTAATGACTACCGTGCAGTATTTTTGGGTGGAGATGGAATGAGATGCTCCCCCAAAGCATCCGCCATAGTTCCCCTTCAATGGCTAGTCTCCATCCACTCAGTGCTCTGACGGTCTTCTCTTCGGAAGAGCTCTTACAGGAGGGACAGCTTCCTCCACTCCCTGCTGACAACACATGTGCAAGATAAGGTCTGAGGACTTTGGGCAGTGGGTTTCCCAGTCATTGCAGTAGAGGAGAAATAGAGACGTTAAACTAGCAAATGTTAAAGCCCCTTGGTCCCAACCCCCCTCCCTAAATGGCAAAAGGAAAGATTGTGGAACTTGTCACCACGTCTCCTTCCTCCCTCACTGCTTTCATGAACTACTGCACCCAAGGCAGAACCTGCACTAAGGAAACAAGCAATGCAGAGACAAAAGTCACTCACTTGCTTCCAGCACCATGGTCTACCCTGTCTGTCATTGTGTTTCCTGTAGTTTCATTACAGACTTATTCAATGGAAAATCATAGAAATAAATAATGCATACATTCTAAATTTCCTGCTGTTCTCAGTAGTATCATGGTGTCTCATACCTTCTTGTTCCATTCAGCCCAGGATATGAATCATCCCTTTGACCAGTATCCACTCTGCGTATGCTATCCACCCGGTGGTCACCTTGTAGGCACCTGTTTTCACACGGACAGGTTCCTGTTCAAGCAACCCTTGATTTTACTTAACCATGGCCCCAAGTGCAAGCCTATGATGCTGGTAATTCTGGTATGCCAAAGTAAAGTGCTTCCTTTTGGTGAAAAAGATTGAATACAAGATTTTTGAGAGAGACTACATCTAATGACTTTCACTGTACTATCTTGTCTCGGTTGTTCTATTTTTAGTTACTGTTGTTAAGCTTTTATTGTGGCTGATATAAACTAAAGCGGGTATTCATGCATATCTGTATAGTCTGCAGGGCTGGATGCTGTGGAGTCAGGCATCCGTGAGGGTCCTGGAAGGCATCCTCCAAAGATGAGGTGTGGGGCACGATAGGCAGTGCTGATTCCTGCCCTTCACTATTCCCATGCACCTGTCCATGGGAGATTCTATGCTGGGACCCAACTCTCGATCACTTGCTGCATTCCAGCAAGTGCCATGGTCCCATTGCAGGTGAAGTGTGTATCCACTCTGACCTTTAACAAGTGACTGGCCAAGGGCATATGGTCTGAAGGGACAGTGTACCAGTTTCAATACTAGGAACACTTTCTTAAGATTTTTCTTTTATTTATTTGAGAGGTATAGACAGAGAGAGAGAGGTCTTCCATCCACTAACTCATTCCCCAAATGGTCCCAACAACAGAGCTGGGCTGATCCGAATCCAGAAGCCAGGAGTTCTGGGTCTCCCATGTCAGTACAGGGGCCCAAGCACTTAGGCCATCTTCTACTGCTTTCCCAGGCCATAGCGGAGAGTTTGATTGGAAGGGGAGCAGCCCGGACTCGGACCGGCACCACAGGCGGAACATTAACTTACTGCGGCTCCCTCAATACTAGGTCTTTAAGTGACCTCCTGCGTTCCCACCTGTCCCCTCTTGCCTCTGCTGTCACCATAAGGCCATTGCTCTCTGGCTTGCTCATCTCAGGTGAAACACGGGACAATGGAGCTGAGCGGCGCTGGCCCAGCAGCCTGAATCAGAACCACTCCGGCTTTCCCTAGAGCTATGTTGAGAGGCAGAGCCAGCCTCTGCGTCAAGATGAGCAGAGCCATCCAGTCAAGGCTTGCCTGGATCCACCGACCCCATCAGAGTGACATCAAGTGTGCCACACAACACTAATTCATCAGTACACTGCCTTACACAAGAATGATAACTTGGACCATTTCATTCACCAGAGGCAAGACTATCGTCATGACAACTAGCTGAAGGTGAGTCTACAGAGAAACACTGCCATTCAGAAATGGTGAGCTTGAGCTTTATACTGGAGGCGTTCTCCAGGAACAACAACAAGCATGCTTTGTCTACACAGCATCCTGACTATTCAAGGGATCTCCACAAAGCCCATGGAAAATCGGTATTTTGAAAACTAGCCATGGACTTCAACATTATTATTTTTGTACAAATGCCAACGTATCTTTTCGTTTCATTTTTCTGCGAACATTCTGAAATACCCTTGCATGTTTTGGCGAAATCCATTACATTTATTATAAATGACAGAACTTCTGGACTCCTGAGAGCAGAGTCACATTATAGGTATGGAAGCCACAGCTCTTTCATTATGAAAAATAAGCCTTTAAATGTCTATTTGATGTGGATGTGGGTATCTGAATTTCTTTTCTTTTTTTATTTTTATTTATTTATTTATTTTTGACAGGCAGAGTGGACAGTGAGAGAGAGAGGCAGAAAGAAAGGTCTTCCTTTTGCCGTTGGTTCACCCTCCAATGGCTGCCGTGGCCAGCACACCGCGCTGATCCGATGGCAGGAGCCAGGTACTTATCCTGGTCTCCCATGGGGTGCAGGGCCCAAGCACTTGGGCCATCCTCCACTGCACTCCCTGGCCACAGCAGAGAGCTGGCCTGGAAGAGGGGCAACCAAGACAGAATCCGGCACCCCGACCGGGACTAGAACCCGGTGTGCCAGCGCCGCTAGGTGGAGGATTAGCCGAGTGAGCCGCGCCGCCGGCCAGGGGCCAGGTATCTAAATTTCTACTCTGGATCCTTGCCTCACACAGAGATAAGAATTCTCAGCAGAGACTTAGTAGCACACACAAGTAGAACAGGATTTACTTTACAAGGAGGGAGAAAACTTATATTCATGCATCAGTGACAGCGGCCCCACATGCAGAAATACCTATCATGAGTGGGTCAGAGGTTACCCATGAGACAGAAAAAGACGACTTTAGCCGCTGGGGAAAGAGACCTCTCCCCCATTCTCAGCCTCTTGTTTATGAGGTAGGGCATGGTACCTTAAACCAATATGCAAATGGAGACTTAGCGTATGCAAATGGGACTTAGCATGGGCTAAGGTCCAGGATGAGACAGATACATCCTGGGAAAGCAGGCATAGCAAGCTGACAATTAAAGAGATAAACATTACTTTGCAGGCATGCAAGAATTCCTGCTCATCTGAACTTGAACTACTGCCTAGTGTACACCACATTCTATGAAAGGTGCAAACTTGGTTTTGAATTAATCGCATAACTTTCATGCTGAAAGAGGAATACCACCTTATCCAATCACGAGGAACTTTGTTTTTCCCACAGCCTGATTGAAACTACCTGGGGCTACCTCTTCCCCTGCCTGAGAAAGCACCTCCGGTAAGCATCCGGGCTTATCTGCTCATCCTTAGAGTAAAACAGCCTCTACCTACATTAATCCCCGAATCTATCCCATCTCACGATTCAGAGACCTGGACCAACTTAATAACCTCACTCTCGACTCCCTTTAGAAACTAAGCTTGCCTCTTAGTCTAAGCCCATTTCACGGTTGAGCTTCTGAGTCCTCTTTATTTCCCTGGCTTACAGTCACCCCTCCACCCGCTCCCCATTGACCTGCCCCTGCGTCTCTACGGCAGGCAGGGTGAAGGTGTGGGGAGCAAAGAAGGGGGAAATTCTGACTTCACCGATGCTGATTTTGCGGCGGTGCTTCCTGACTGTGGAAATCGCACTTTCATGAGGTGTCTCTGGGGATCCCCAGCCACGTGACTTTCGCACCCGTGGGTGTGTGGCAGGCAGATGCCGCATCTTCCCGGCTTGGCTCCCCCATGCTTTCTCCTCACTGCTCACCTGCAGCTTAACAGAGACCATGGGAGCCAGCCCACAAACCAGCACTTCAAGTCAGCTCATGGAGCCCGGCTCACCGGAAAAGCAGCTTTCCCACCACAGGGCTCTCTCCTGAGACATCCTTGAGCTAATTTTCATCCTTTATTTAAGACCTGTCTGACTTCCGGCAGAGAGGATGGTGGTCAGGTACAGTCTCCAGTCAGCTCAGGAGGCTGAGAGAGCACCTGACTTTGGAACATGAGACGGTTGGCATCTATGGTTGTGGGGTTTCAGCTAACCTATGGCAGAAAGCCTAATTAAGGTATCTTGATAAAACACACACACACACACACACACGCAGATATGTACACGTGCATGCAAACATACATGAGCATACATGACCAATGCGTGCATGCACACATACATGTGCATATTCATTGTGTTCATGCATGGACAGGTGCATATGTGTGCACATGTGTGCACTGCACCTACATGCTTGCATATGCACCCTGCATTGTGCACGTAAGCATGTGTGAACGCATGCACACATTCATGCGTGCAAATGCACAGGCAGTTGTACATACGTGGGAACTCATGCACATATGTGAACACAAGCACGCATGTATACATGTGCACACATATGCACACATGCATCCTCCATGTTCCATGTCAGGTCAGAAGGCAAGGAAAGCAGGGAAGACCGCTGACTGGCAGCTCCCTGAAATATCTATGAGGAAGCCCTGAAGCACATGTGATGGCTTCCCCACCACTCTCTCTCAGATAGAATCTTTCACAGCTGCGTAGACTTGACATTGCCACCCCATGCGTGTTGCAGGAGCAGCACCTTCTGAAACAGGGAGCCCTCTGTGCAAGACGAAGAACAGCCAGGCAACAACTCATGACAAGAGCCTAGGGTGATTACTGACACCATAAACAAGAGTGTCAATTTGTTAAGTCAACAACAGGAGTCACTGTGCATTTACTCCTCATGTAGGATCTCTGTCCTTAATGTGCTGTACATCATGATTTAATGCTATAACTAGTACTCAAACAGTATTTTACACTTTGTGTTTCTGTGTGGGTGCAAGCTGTTGAAATCTTTACTTAATATATACTAAACTGATCTTCGGTATATAAAGATAATTGAAAATGAATCTTGATGTGAATGGAAGGGGAGAGGGAGCGGGAGAGGGGAGGGTTGCAGGTGGGAGGGAAGTTATGGGGAGGGGAAGCCATTGTAATCCATAAGCTGTACTTTGGAAATTTATATTCATTAAATTAAAGTTAAAAAAATAAAAAATTTTAAAAAAAGCAGCAGAGGAGAAAGGAGGCCAGAGGAGAGCCCTGCAATCATGCCTGACCCCAGGACACCCAGCCGGAGCACAGCTCCCCCCACATCACCGCTCCAGCCAACCGTGTCCTCAGCGGCCACGTTGTTAACTAAAAGTCAGAGAAAATAAGCACTTCAGGGCTTTCCTGGTTCCTGGAGATGTTAGAAGAGAGTTGGAAGAGCCACCAAACAATCATTCCAGATGGCAGGCACGCCTAGGACATACATCACACACATGGAAGACATTTCACTCCCGGGAAGATTGTTGAAATAATAATTTGCACCGATTCATTAATAGTTAAAAGCATGTGCTTCTCTCTTGGGCAATCTGGGACTGTTTAGTCTTTTTGTTTCTTTTTTGTTTTGTTTAGGAAGCAGGGATGACCTCCATGGAGATAAAATATGTTGATGGCTGTGATCACTGTCATTGCTGTCGCCTGAATGGGATCCCCACATGCCAGGGCTGCTCCTCCAGCTCCCCGGGCATGCAGAAGACTCGCTCTGGAAGAAGGTCAAGAGGACGAGAAAGAAACAGAAAAGAGAGGACAGAGAGGAATATTTGCTAACACTCTACAGCACAGTGGGATAGCTGTGGTTGACCATGATTCAATGTGTATTTCCGTATCAGCCGTAGAGAGGATTTGCAATGTCCCCCACACGAAGAGCTAATAGATGTGTGAGCTGATAGATTCCAGTTACTCTGAACACATTGCACACATGTATTGAAAAGTCACACCCATGAAGACATATGATTAAAAATAAAAATACATTAAAAAAAAAACCAGACAGGACAGGGAGGTTGTGGTGGACCAGAGATGCCATCTCTTCTCATTTGTTCTGGTTTTACCTCTTCTCAAATAAAGAGACCTAGCAAGAGGGACAGAGGAGACTGGGAAAGACGCCCGGCTCCTCTATAAGCTCCAAGGGGCTCCAGGCCTCCAGGGACCAAAAAAGGTCAAACACCAAGGGAGAGAGAACTGAAGTTAGAAATACGGAACCAAAATTTTATAACCAGAAAAAATATATATACCCCTATGATGAGTGCTATCCTAAATAAATATGTTCCAAGATTTAGCCTCAAAATTGTTTATCTAGAGATTGTTTATAATTATAGAAAATTACAAGCAACCAATGTACTCAACAATATTTTTACATGGCTAAATAAATTATGCTCATCTAGACAATGCTATGACATGTAGCTATTACAAATATACAAATACACTCCCTGGCAGGTTCATAGTATATAGTTAAGATGTAGGTTATAAAGAATATAGGCAGCGTGATCACAACTTGGTTAAATAATTTTTACATGGATATTTCTAGATATGTATATGGAAACAAGTCTGGAAGGGATTTTGACTAATGAAAATACAGATGATATCTATTTTCTTTCTCTTTCTCTAATGTCTTCACATTGTTTCCTCCAAATAATTATCAACCTGCTTACCCGATAATTATCATATGTACAATTGTTACAAAAGTTAAGAATTTCATGGCCAGCGCTGTGGCCCAGCAGGTTAAAGCCCTGGTCTGAAGCGCCAGCATCCCACATGGGTGCCAGTTCGAGACCTGGCTGCTCCACTTCTGATACAGCTCTCTGCTAGGGCCTGGGAAAGCAGTAGAAGATGGCCCAAGACCTTGGGCCCCTGCACCCATGTGGGAGACCTGGAAGAAGCTCCTGGCTCCTGGCTTCAGATCGGCACAGCTCCGGCCGTTGTGGCCATTTGAGGAGTGAACCAGTGGATGGAAGACCTCTCTCTCTCTCTCTCTCTCTCTCTCCCCCTCTCTGTCTCTCCCTGTGTAACTCTGCCTTTCAAAAAAATAAAGTAAATCTTTAAAAAACAAAAAGTTGGGAATTTTTCAAGAAGAAAAGCTGCCAACCTTTCACAGAGAAGCTGTGCCACGACACCAGGTAACAGGTGTAAGCCATGAAGTTCTGTTCCCACAGCCAGGACTGTGGCTTGCTCTACGAGCCGGGCTGTGAGATTTAAAAAGGAAGAAGTCCTCTCTTTTTAAGGCAGTTGGAAGAGGAGAAGGGTCTTTTGTGTCTTTTCTGTGCTACTTGTCCAAGTTCAAAAACAAATCAAGCAGCTGAAGAAGGAACGCTACCATGTGTTTGCAACTCCCGTGGCTACCATTTGCTTCACTGTCCATGACGCCAGGCTATCCTCTGTAATAAGACAGTGGTGCACACTTGAGAGGCAGTAGGGTGTACTGGAAAGGGCCATTGGCCAAGATATATGAGAGGGGGGTCCTGTGCCAACTCTGCTACTAGACTTGGTGGAGCACCTGTCATATGTCAGGCAAGGAATCCAATCGTAACATAGAAAGTTGAATGTGATACTCATTCTATACTTAATAAATCGAAAGCCAAGTTGCAGAGGTATACCAAATAACAAATGGGCATCAAGGGACATGTCGCAGGTTGCAAGAGACACATGAAAAAAACACCATGGTGGGGCCAGCACAGTGGCATAGCAGGTAAAGCCGCCACCTGCAGTGTCAGCATCCCATATGGGCGCCAGTTCCCGTCCCAGCTGCTCCACTTCTGATCCAGCTCTCTGCTATGGCCTGGGAAAGCAGTAGAAGCTGGCCCAAGTCCTTGGGCCCCTGCACCAGTGTGGGAGACCTGGAAGAAGCTCCTGGCTCCTGGCTTTGGATTGGCCCAACTCTGGCACTTGGGGAGTGAACCAGTGGATGAAAGACCTCTCTCTCTCTATCTCTCTGCCTCTGCCTCTCTGTAACTCTGACTCTTGAATAAATAAATAAATCTTTAAAAAAAAAAAGCACCATGGCACACAGTGGTGGGTGAAGCCATATTTTCTATTCAAGGTCAATAGGGTTTGAGTTAGGTATACCTGTGTTAGTCAGCTCCTTGTAACTACAAAGAAATGTCTGAGACAAGCTACTTATGAAGGAAGAGGGTTTGTTTCTAGATCAGGTGGTCCCCTTGGTTTGGCCATCTAAGGCCAACAGATCGCAATGGCAGAACACGTGTGGGAGAACAATCGCACGGTGATTCAGAAAGCAGAGGCAGGGTGGCTGGGCCCAGCAGAGACTTCATAACCAACCCTCTTGCAAGAAATACCTTCTGAGAGTCTGCTCCCAGGGACCTAAGAACCTCTGCTAGGCCCACCTCCTAAACACCACAACTGGATGAAGGGGCCACCCCCTTAGTACCACTAACACAAGACTTTGGAGTTTATATGATATACACCTGCTTGGGTTTGGAGCCATATCCTGTTCAAACCATAGCAGCATGAAAGTCAGCCAAAGAAAGAAGGTAACTCTTGAGTTGTGCCTTGAAAGACAAGGCCAGAAGGGGCACACAAGGCTGTCACATTGTGTGTCTTGCCTCAATCTCCGTCTTATTGTGTGTCTTTCCTCAATCTCCTCACTTTTAAAATAACAGCTGAACCTGAACACTTCCAGTTCCAGTATCGGAACTGCTCAGGGATGGCCAACTGTTGGCCACACTGCAAAAAAGCCACTGCTGACACAGTCCTCACCTGACCAGGGTCCCCGACACTGGGGAACCAGATTCAAGCAGTCACCTGTGTTAAGAAAATATATCCAGACCAGGATACGGGACCCAGCGGCTGACCCTCAGTGTCATCCTGAAACACTTCCGCTAATCCAATAGCGCTTAGTGGGTCCTCGATGAGTGTCCCTCGGTTAACACGCCCATCTCCTGTTGGTTAGAGTCTAGACATTGTGCAGTGATGTGCTAATCGGTAGATTTTTGTCCAGTAGAAATGCAAACTCTGTTCAGTATAAAAGATGCTCCTCTGGAAGGCATTTGGCCTAGTGGTTAAGACGTGCACATCCAATACCAGGATGCCTGGGTTCAGTTCCCACTTCAGGAGCCTGACTCCAGCTTCCTGCAAATGCAGACCCTGGTGGGGAGAGTGATGATGGCTAAAGTAATTGAATTCCAACCACGCATATGGGAGATATGGATTGTGTTCCTGGCACCGAGCTTCAGCTTGAACCAACTCCAGCCATTACAGGTGAGAGTGCGCACTCTCTCTCTCTCTCACTCTCGCTCTCGCTCTCTCTTTCCGGCTGTCTCTCTCAAATAAATAAAGAAATTTAAAAGAAAAAAAAAGATGACCCCCAAGTGTTCCATCATAGGTCCCTGTGCACAGGGGTCCATCCCACAGCCCATATAAGGCCTGCGAAATCATTGGGTGTGGCCCAGCTTCAGCAATGACAGGGGGTACTCCAAATGCAGTAATTCTGTAGCAGGCTCATTTTTAAGTTAATAATGTTGTATGACCCATGAATGATAAATATCCAAATAGCCTTTGGCAGAAAAATGGTTCACCACTCCTATGGGCGAATAAGCAGATTGTTCCCTTAGTCACACCTGTGTACACGTGTACATGCACATTCCATGTGTCTTCCCTGTTGCGCTGTGTAAATCCCAGGACATTAAATGCCACTTGTAACTTTATCATCTGGCTCCCTTGGTAATGAATTAACGAATTTTATCGCTTGTTAATTCTATATTTGAATGAGTTATGTTTCTAAATCTTTGAAATGATTCTTCTACATTGAGGGGGAAATTTCCTTCGTTCTTGAACTATGAATCAACTGTAGAGGTTTTGCTCTTTTGCTTTTTCCAATATTTGCTGCTGTTTGCTGATTTCTGTGGGCTCCTTTGAGCTACCTGTACTTATTTCTTCCTGGGTCAGAAACATACTCATATTTAGGATCCATCCTTGTGACACCTGCTGTGTCAATGATCAAGATGAAGTTAGTAATCTACATACACATAATCCCAAAGAGAGAGAGAGAGAGGGAGAGGGAGAGGGAGAGAGAGGGAGAGAGAGGGAGAGAGAGGCTGGTTTGCTGATTGGCATTTTTCCTGAGTACTTAAAGAAACAGGTCCTGCTTGCATTCTGTTATTCAGCCTCCATGCCATCCCCATTACATTACTGTATCACACACACACACACACACACACGGCAGATTCCTGAAATTCCTTTATTTCTGTAACAATCCTCACATTTTGAGATTGTACAACTTTTTTTTTTATTTGACAGAGTTAGGCAGTGAGAGAGAGAGATAGAGAGGAAGGTCTTCCTTCTGTTGGTTCACCCCCCAAATGGCCGCTACGGCTGGAGCTATGCCGATCCAAAGCCAGGAGCCAGGTGCTTCCTCCTGGTCTTCCATGCGGGTGTAGGGGCCCAAGCACTTGGGCCATCCTCCACTGCACTTCTAGGCCACAGCAGAGAGCTTTACTGGAAGAGGAGCAACCGGGACTAGAACCCGGCACCCATATGGACGCTGGCGCCATAGGCGGAGGATTAACCTAGCGAGCCACAGCGCCAGCCTGAGATTGTATAACTTTGACATATGACCTCCACTGCTTGAACTCGCTAATTGGCAACAACAGCATTAACATGACACCATTTCATGTTTTATAAAAGCATTTTGATGGATGTTTTCTTACTCCTTAGAAACATTCCTTTGGTGGGGGGCATTGTCTGGGTCCATTTTCTGCTACTGTAACAAAATATCAAAGACCGGATAATTTATGAAGATCAAAGGCCAATGCTGAAGCATAGTGAGTTAAGCCCCTGCCTGCAACACCAACATCCCATAGGAGCACTAGTTCGCATCCTGGCGGCTCCACTTCCAATCCAGCTCCCTGCTAATGTGCCTGGGAAAGCAGCAGAGGATGGCTGAAGTGCTTGGACCCCTGCCACCCATGTGGGAGATCCAGACGGAGCTCTGAGCTCCTGATTTGGGCCTGGCCCAGCCCCAGCCTTTGCAGCTATTTGGGGAGTGAACCAGCAGATGGAAGATATCGCTCTGTCTCTGAGTGTGTGACACTCTACCTTTCAAATAAATAAATAAATCTCTTTTTAAACATTTCCAAAGAACATTTATTTGTCATGGTTCTGGAGGCTGGAAAGTGCAAGATCAAGGTGCCAGAGCCTTGTAAGGGCCTCCGTGCTGAGTCAGCTCATGGCCGGAGGGCAAGAGGGTGACAGAGAGAACAGGGGGCTGAACTCGTCCTCTACTAAGGACCCCACTCCCCTGATAAACCCACTCCTAGAATAAGGCATGGATCATCTCTTAACGATTGCAACTCCTAACCCTGCCCTATTGTTTTCAAGTTTCCAATACATGGATTTCAGGGGACACACTCAAATCATACATGGTACTCCACCTCCCAACTCCAAGGTCCACATCTGTTTCATGTGCCATTCAGATTTATTCCATTCCAATAGCCCTAAAGTGATTTTTTGAAGATTTATTTATTTGTTTGAAAGTCAGAGTTACACAGAGAGAAAAGGAGAGGCAGAGAGAGAGAGAGAGAGAGAGAGAGGTCTTCCATCTGCTGGTTCACTCGACAGATGGCCACAACAGCCAGAGCTGTTCTGATCTGAAGCCAGGAGCCAGGAGCTTCCTCCGGGTCTCCCACATGGGTACAGGGGCCCAGGGAATTGAGCCATCCTCCATTGCCTTCCTGAGCTACAGCAGAGAGCTGGATTGGAAGCGGAGCAGCCAGGACTTGAACTGGCACCCATATGGGTTGCTGGCACTGCAGGTGGTGGCTTTGCCCACTTTGCCACAGCACCGGCCCTAGTCCTAAAGTCTTAATGCAGCACCAACTCAAAAGTCCAAGGCTTGAGTTTTACCAAGATCCAAGAGGGGCAGATTCCGCTGTGAGACTGTGACATGGAACAACTTATGAGATTCTAAAATGTAATGGTGGAAGAAGCATACGGTAGACTCTCTAATACAGGGGAGACATAGGAAAGAAGGAAGGGGTAATGGTTCTTGAGAAAGCTAAAACCCAACAAGGAAGACAACATTAAGTCTTTTTTTTTCTTTCTTTTTGACAGGCAGAGTGGACAGTGAGAGAGAGACACAGAGAGAAAGGTCTTCCTTTGCCATTGGTTCACCCCTCAATGGCCGCTGCAGCCGGCGCACCGCGCTGACCCGAAGGCAGGAGCTAGGTGCTTCTCCTGGTCTCCCATGGGGTGCAGGGCCCAAGCACCTGGGCCATCCTCCACTGCACTCCCAGGCCACAGCAGAGAGCTGGCCTGGAAGAGGGGCAACCGAGACAGAATCCAGTACCCCGACCAGGACTAGAACCCGGTGTGCCGGCGCCGCAAGGCGGAGGATTAGCCTAGTGAGCCATGGTGCCGGCTAACATTAAGTCTTAAATCTGAGGAAGAACCATCCTTGACGCCATGTCCTACCTTCTGAACACACCGGGATTGGGTTGGAACCTCCAAGGCCTTGGGCAGCCCTGCCCTTGAGGCTCTGCTGGGATCAGCCCATGCAGCAGTGCTCACAGTTGGAGTCCTCTGTCCCACCCCTCTCTTGCATTCTGTCAGCTCCGTAGTTCCGAGGTCTCAGAGATGGCCCCATTCCCATTGCCCCGGTGGGGACTTTCTGGGATGGCTCCAGGCCCACAGTTGCACTGGGGATTGCCCCAGTCAAGGCTTCTGTGGCAACTCCACGTGTGCAATCAATCTGTGCTTTGGCCCCCTTTGAAATCCAGGTAGAGACCACCGGGCTCACGTGCAGACTGTGCACTTGCAGAATTAACACCTCTTGGACACCGCCAGGGCTCATGGCCTGTGCCTTTCAGCTCGGTGGCCAGGGCAGGGGCTGGAGCTGTTTCTGGAACCACTTGAGCCATAGCTGTGGAGGCTGAGGAGCTGTGTGAGAAGGCAGAGAACAGAATCCCAAGGTGACCCTGGACGGCAAGCTTGTAGGATGTTCTCTGGGCTCATCCACTGACACCATTATGCCCTTCTAGCCTCCTGGATCTAGGGCAGGTAGGGGCTTAGTCTCCAGGATTTATGCAATGTTCTTTCTCCCACTGTCTTCATCAACAGGACCTGAGTTTCTTCCATCCAAGCTAAGACCTCTATCAAACTCAGCCCCCTTAGCCACACCCTTGGTTTGCTCGCTTAAAGATGACTTTGCACTCTTTGCTTGGTCAGGCTGCCAGTTTTTCAAATATTTGCACTCTTGTGGGGCTCCATGGGATGCGCAGCCATGGAGCCCCCATGTCAAGGTTGGTCTGATAGCTGTTGCTTTGTCTTTATCACAAGGCGGATGTTGCTAGTTTCGGTTAGGGCAATGCTTTCCCACGGTCGGGACTTTCCAGAGGAGTTGAGAATGTTGTAAACAACAAGATGGTGCCGAGGACCGCGCGGTGAGCCTGCCTGCTGCGTGACACCTCATCTGATTGGCCCGAGGACGTGTGCATACTGCGTGAACAGACAGCAGATTGGAGTGTTCCGTGCATGGACTTGAGCCCACTTGCAATTGGCCGGATTTTGTATATAAGCTGTGTGCTGAGGAAGGAGGGGGCTTTTCTGTCCACTCTCCTCCCTTCATTCTTTCTCTGTCACTGTTATTTTCTTATTAAAAGTCTACTGAAGACCGATAAGCTGTGAACAGTGTCATTCCTTTGCGGGCAAGGGAGCGACACACTGTTTCTCTCTTTAATTATAAAGTTCATCTTTAAATCATTTCTCTTTGGGACCAGCATTGTAGTAAATATGACGTCTGTGACACCAGCATCCCATATCAGAGTGCCACTTCGAGTCCTGGCTGCTCCAGTTCTGATCCAGCTCCCTGCTAATGCACCCAGGAAAGAGTGGAGGATGTTCCAAGTACTTGGGGTTCCTGCCACCCAAGTGGGAGACCCCGACTGTGTTCCTGGCTCCTGGTATGGCCCAGACATGACTGCTGTGGCCATTTGGCCATTTGCTTTTCAACAAATAAATAAAATAAATGTTTAAAAATAAATAAATCATGTCTCTCATCTCACATCTTACTATATGCATTTGGCACATCCATAGCCACACAGCTCCTTAAGTACTTGGTTAGATGTGCTGGTTCATCAGCCTTAAGTTCTGTCTTCCTTAAAACCCTCGGCCATGAATATAACCCAGCGCTGTTCTTTGCCTTTGCCGTTCGTATTTCTACCCACGTTCTCATCATGATCACTTAAGGGATCACTAAGAGCCTCTAGACTTCCCCAAGTCCTCTCCTCTTCTATGCCCTCTGTCCACTGCAACAGAGGCCTCTTTGCCTAGCTCCTCCAAACTCTCCCAGCCTCTGCCCATTACCCAATTCCAAAGCTGCTTCTACATTTTCAGGTATGTGTTACAGTAGACAATTATACTCCTCAGCATCAATTTCTGTCTTAATCTGTTGTCTGCTCTAACAGAGTACCATATACTGGATAATTTATGAAGAGCAGAAACTTTTTCTTCTTTGAAAAGATTTATTTATTTATTTGAAAGGCAGAGTTACAGAGAGGCAGAGGGAGAGAGAGAGAGAGAGAGAGAGAGAGAGAGAGAGAGAGGTCTTCCATCCGCTGGTTCACTCCCCAGATAGCCACAACGGCCAGTGATGGCCATCCAAAGCCAGAAGCCTGGAGCTTCCTCCAGGTCTCCCACACAGGTGCATAGGCCCAAAGACTTGGGCCATCCTCTACTGCTTCCCCAGGCCATAGCAGAGAGCTGGATCAGGATTGTAGCAGCTAGGACTTGAACTGGCTCCCATATAGGATGCCAGCGCTGCAGTCAGCGGCTTCACCTGCTATAGCACCAGCCCCAGAAACTTATCTTTTTTGGATGCTGGGAAGTCTATCATCAGGTGCTGGAAGACAGGAGTGATGTGATGAGGTAGGCACACCACAGTCAAAAGAAGCTGTTTTATCTAAAAGTGACAGGCGTCATTGAAGTGTCTTAAGTGTGCCTCCCACCTACTCAGCCAAGAATCCCACACGACCTTGCTGAATTCTTCCTAGGTGTTGTACTGATTCCACAACATGATTTGCCCAGAAGTGTGAGAGAGAGAAGGAAGACATCCTCAGATTAGCAGTTTGATACTTTTGATCATTCTGTTGAGTGTAGGGAACGTCTTAAAGATGATAGCGCAAAAGAACCCATCAGCAGGCTACCACCAAGGTCAATGCCAAAGATGCAATGGCTTGGACAATGCCATTGGTGACAACAAAAGAAAGAAACAAATTTGAGGCCCATGTAGAGGGCTGGATCATTGAGTCTTTCCATTGGGTACCACAGATGAAGGTTAGTGAGGAATCAAAGTCATCTTCAACATTTTGGTCTTTCACTATTAAGTAGATATTGCCTCTATTCACCAAGAAAAGAAGCATTTAGAAAGAAGGATAAGGAAAATGAGAAATGGTCGTAGAAGTTAGTAGTTCAATTACAGTCATCCAGAGCTAGATAGTTATATCAAGAAAAACATCATTGGCAATATCAAAAATCAGTCCATTAGACCACTTTTAAACAATCACTATTAGTTGAGTCAGTTTTGGGAATTCCCAATGGCCAGGTAGCTTGAACATTCTTCCAGAAAATAGATTCAAGCACCCATTTCCCTTGATATGGTTGCCAGTTTCCATTCTGATTCCCTTTCGCATCTTATGCCTCCAATTTCTCACTCTCACCTCCTAAGACTGCTTTGGAAATTACTGGCTATTAGAATTACAGTTAAGTTGTCCATTCACTGTTTCTAACTTCTCAGGTTTGGAGATATATTCAAGAGTTGTAGCACACATCTCGATTCCAGTAAGAAAAATAGAAGCGTCCCCAAAGTGTAGAAGATACCAAGGCAGGCAGCCCAGGCACTGCACAAGTAATAGAAAAAATAATACCATGTCAGGTAAAATGTAGACATACAAGAAATGTTTTTAAAATGGTGTTCTAATCTAGAAAAAGAGAGAGAGAGAGAAATAAAGATGTTCAAAAAACGTAGACTCATTCTGAACTCACTGATTGGGAGATGAATCTATATATTAAAACACATGATTGTCAAATGTGTCTCTCTTTTTTTTAATTTATTTTTTTGACAGGCAGAGTGGACAGTGAGAGAGAGAGACAGAGAGAAAGGTCTTCCTTTTGCCGTTGGTTCACCCTCCAATGGCCGCCACGGCCGGCGCACTGCGCTGATCCGATGGCAGGAGCCAGGTGCTTCTCCTGGTCTCCCATGGGGTGCAGGGCCCAAGCACTTGGGCCATCCTCCACTGCACTCCCTGGCCACAGCAGAGAGCTGGCCTGGAAGAGGGGCAACCGGGACAGAATCTGACGCCCCAACCGGGACTAGAACCCGGTGTGCCAGCGCTGCAAGGTAGAGGATTAGCCTAGTGAGCCGCAGCACCGGCTCAAACGTCTCTCAATATCAGAAACAAGGAGAAAGATTGGAGTAAAAATGAATGGGGAAAAGCAGATGGGAACAACTATCTTTGAGACTCAGTCTAAAATAAAAACTGATGACTGTTGGTGCAAATGTGATCGCTTGTTGCCCAAATCTGTTTCTCCCATCATCCCATTTCTTCATTCCATTCAGCACTTTGGTCTCAATGAAAGTCCATGTTACATAAGGTGATGAAGTCACACTTCTGGGTAAATCATGTTGTGGAATCAGTACAACACCTAGGAAGAAAGAATTCGGCATTGTCTTGTGGGATTCTTGGCTGAGTCAGTGGGAGGGAGTGTTTAGGAGAGTAGCAATAATAGCATGAAAGTACAGGACTCTCTATGCGTGCTATACCTATTAATATCAAAGGAACAAACCAATTACAACCCACCTGTGATGACTTTGCACAGTTCAACTCCTTTAAATGTACAAGTTTCCTAAAATCCAACTAGTACCATTCCCTGAGCAAACTAACCTACACTGACATGAATTCTTCATTCCTAGCATCTAATGCATTCATTTTGAAGGCCAATCAAGGACACGAATTCAGGAGAATTGGGTTAAGTAAAAAGGTACTCATTAATCAGTAATTAACAAATAACTTTTACCATTATATTTTCCAAGAGTGGAAAGCCATTTAATAAAACAAAATGTTTGCAAAACAGATAACTACTTTTTATGATGTCTTCATCAGGCAGGTCAATCTTTCTCTCTTAATTTTCCAGATGAAAGACAGATACAAACATAACCAGGGCTTGTGCATGAAATCAGAACTTATTATTGCCAGGGCTGTATTCTGAACTCATCTGTGAGGCATGAGTCAAATGTTCTGAGCTTCAGCTAATCGAGATCAAAGTCTTCCTTTGCCTTTCCAAGCAGAAAAACATTCCATGTTGTGTTCCATCAAACTTGGTGAGCATCTCAATTGAAATGCTAGCTGCATTATTTTATTAGTTATTTACATCATTAATTACACCAGGTCAGTGTTTCTAAGTCTGATATCCCACAGAAGGTAATGTATGTCTTAAGAGAATAGAAAGTGCAATAAAAAATAAATTTAGGAAAATCTGAGTTAAGCACAATTATGCAGATGTCTTTACTGCAGAGCTTTTCAGAGTTTTAAAACATTAAGAAACATTGTAGGTGCAACTCTCTTCGGTCGTCCCGAATCCGGGTTCATCCGACACCAGGCGCCTCCACCATGCCACCCAAGTTCGATCCCAACGAGATCAAAGTCGTATACCTGCGGTGCACCGGCGGCAAGGTCGGCGCCACGTCTGCCCTGGACCCCAAGATCGGCCCCCTGGGCCTGTCTCCCAAAAAGGTTGGCGATGACATTGCCAAGGCCACCGGCGACTGGAAGGGGCTGCGGATCACAGTGAAACTGACCATCCAGAACCGGCAGGCCCAGATCGAGGTGGTGCCTTCGGCCTCGGCCCTCATCATCAAAGCCCTCAAGGAACCCCCCCGGGACCGGAAGAAGCAGAAGAACATCAAACACAGCGGCAACATCACCTTCGACAAGATTGTCAACATTGCCCGGCAGATGCGCCACCGGTCCCTAGCCAGAGAACTCTCCGGGACCATTAAGGAGATCCATTAAGGAGTCTGTGGGCTGCAACGTGGACGGCCGCCACCCTCACGACATCATCGACGACATCAACAGTGGTGCCGTGGAGTGCCCGGCTAGCTAAGAAGCACAGAGGAATCTTGGAATAAAGGATCATCTGACAAGTGGCAAGCACAAGATCAAAACAATAGAAACATTGTAAATCTCAAATTTATTTTGACTGTAGACTTTTTCCCATGAATACTCATGAACCAGTGCAGACACATGGACAAGGAGCAGAGTATGGAAAATTCACGGGATCGTCAGTGTGCATTTTCAGCATCTAGTGTAGAATCTGGACCTAGGAAGTGATCCTTGTGCTGACAATTCCCAAATCTCTTTTTCCAGCTACTTTTGATCTCCAGAATCAAACATCTAAGCACCTATGTGACATGTTTTTCTTGGTTGTCCAATGAGTTCTTCAAACTTAGCATATCCAAAACTGGTTTGAATCTTCCCCTCAAAATTCATTGTATCTGCAACCTCCCCATCTCTGTGGATAAAACGTCATCCATCAGACAAAAACCCAGGAAAGCTTAGATGAAATATAATGCAAAAAAACTGTAAGCACAATGAACAAATAAAAAGAAACTGTCAGAGTTGAAACCTCACTTCTGTTATGACCTTGTTACTGGGCCGTATGTCCAGGTATACGCAGACAATCTGATTATGATCATCAAAGCTGTCAATAGTTGTCCAAGGCAAGGGACGGAACATGGGTTTCATTACCCTATTCTCTCTTTTCTGTGTATTTAAAATTTTCCATAATTAAAAGTTTTTAAGAAATTAGATTATATAAAATATAATGAGATGATGAAGAACCTTATTTTAAAGACAGATTTTCCTACAGTATCATTAACAGTAAGTTTTTCTCTAGGTGCTCACTTCATATAGAGAGATTGTGTTGATATATGTTCATATATAGAGATCACGTGTTGACGTGAAGGTGTCTTTGTATATTTCAACTTTATATTATTGAGTTTGGTTTCCACATCTCTAGGAATGGGTTATGACACTCACATAGCATCAGACAAAGATTGCATATGCAATACACACAAATATATATGTGTAGATGTGGAGTCGGGGTGGAGATTCCAGTCCTAGTTGATGATAGGAGTACACAGACAAAAAATGTGTGGTTCTCTGTGTTTGAATCACAACAGGGAAAGCTGTGTAGGTGGTAAAATACAGAGATCATTAATAAAGCTACTGAGGGCCAAGTTGGGGTGGGGGAGAGAGCTAATAACATTAGGATATATCTACAAGGTTAATGCATGCATGCATCACTTATATACACAAACACTATTTGTAAAGCTAGTAAAGCTCTTTGGAACCCTTTGGGATAAAAGGCAAGTAAGACAATATATTATTAATACCACTATAATAGTGCAAGCCGGAGTTTCTATATAAAGCTGTCAGAGGAGTCTTTTAATGGTCTCGTTTTTATGCAATGTATACCAGCCTCTATTGAAGAGACTACATTAATCTAAATTATTGAGATGAATTTTCACTGGGTTGGACACTACTAAAGCTTGGAACGACTCAAAGAGTAAAGGAGAAAAAAATCAATTCAGTACGCTGGAAAATAAACATTCAGTGACCTGAGACAATGGAGGACATATTTCCTTACTCCTACGTACTCATTTCACAAGTCGGTGGCACCCAGATGGCCTGCAGCGAGGTTCCGGAAGGGTGGGAGAGCATGCGCAGGGCTGCATGAGCCCTGTCTTTGCAACGCTCTGGGACTCTGGCTCTGCATGTTTTCCAGGCCTGAGCGAACACTTTTTTGCTTTGCAGTCTTAAATAAAAGCCAAGGAAACACCTCACTGGTTTCTCATCAAGAACGACACAATTTGTTTTGCTGATTTCAGCACAGTGGTGAAGTTTTTCTTCTTTAAATTAGGAGCCAAGTGGAAACAGATGGATTAAGGGATTCCCATGCCCTGTGAATGTTCTGCAGCCTGGAAAAAAAATAGGAAAACCACGAGTGTGGGAAGGAAGCATTAGTGTCATCTTTCTCCTCTTATTCCATATTCATGATAGTCTGAGGCAAACTGCACAGGCTCACTCCACGTCCAGCCGTATTCCTGGCTCCAAAAGGTAGAGACCTCATAGCCATTAAGGTGACTCACGGCCTCAACTTTCTCATCTGCAATACGGGCACACTTTTCTCCTGGAGCAGTCCAACAGAACTTCCCACCCCCATAGCAATACACACAGATTGATTTGCATTGCCATTGAGCAGCCAAAGAGTTGACAACGCCAGGAGGAAACTACTAGAAAGCAAAAGGCTTCTCTCAGGTAAAGGATGGACATTTTCACCTCTCAGCTCTCCTTCACTCAGCGCAAAAGTGATTGTCTTGGGTGGGTGTTTGGCATAGTGATTTAGAAGTCACCTAATAACTTGGCACACTCACATCCCACGTTGGAGTGCCTGGGTTCAAGTTGCAACTTTGCTTTCTGTTCCGTCTTCCTACCGATGCAGACATTGGGAGGTGATAGCTCAGCTTGGATCCCCTCCCCCAACAAAACTGAAGACCAAGACCAAGTTCCAGGACTCCCAGCTTAGGCCTGGTATTGTCACTCTGGTGTTTGACGAGTGAACCAGTGGATAGATCTCTTGTTTTGGTCCATCCGTCTCTCCTTGTCTTTCTAAAAAACAAATAAGTAAAAGTGTTAACAAACTATCCACAGAAAAGTGACAACCTCTCTACCAAATTAGGAAACAGTGTAAGGTTTGACCACAGCAGTTTTTACAAGAGGTGCTTGCAAAAAATAGTTGAATCTGAAAAATACCGCCCTTGAAACACATCATGGACTTATGGATAGTGAAATCAGGAACCAGAATATCGACACTTAAAGAACAATGAACACAAAAGATTGCATTTTCAGGCTGAACATTGAGTTGCTGCAGATTCACCACGAAACACCAGCGTTTACTAAAGCAGCAGGAAGAGACCAGTGTCACAACAGTCTTCAGTATGGGATGGGAACTCCTTCAGCCAACACCAGCCAACGCAAACCAAGGTCTAGACCAGAATGAGCTAGAAGGTTCTCCAAGGCCCAGTGAGGAGGCATCAGTGCTCCACGGAGACCC